ATAACCTGCAACGTATGGTTTGTATCACATAGCTTGCACATACACTGCATCACATGAATTGCTCCGCATACGTTGCACCACATAGATTGCATCACACTGGTTACACCGTGCATATTGCAACACATCCGTTACACCATGAACATATTGACATACAATTCGGCTGCAGAAACATTGCATGCAGGGCACCAACCAGAGGGCTGCCGCCATGCCTCAGGAAAGGCTGCAAGATTTGCAAGCGCATGCCTGCTCAATTTCTCAAGGTTTGGCTTGAGCCCACAGGAGGGGGAGGAGCAGGACGAGGGAGACAGGGGAGGGGATGGAGAGAAGGAGGAGGAGGAGGAGGGAGAAGGAGAAGGACGGGAAGGAGGAGGGGGAGAAGGGGCAGGCGGAAAGGACGGGAAGGAGAAGGGGGAGAAGGACGGGAGAAGGGGGAAGGAGGAGGGGAGAGGAGAAGGGGGGGGAGAGGGGAAGGGAGAAGGGGGAAGGAGAAGGACGGGAAGGAAAAGGAGGGGAGAGGGAGAAGGGGGAGGCCGAAAGAGAAAGGGCAGAGGGAAGGCGAGGAGGTCCTGCACCCGGCCGAAGGCCCTGAAATGCTCCTCGAGCTGCTCCGAGGCCGTAAAGCCGAGGTACTGGATCTTACGCGTCAGAATCACGCAGCTGTGCTCCTTGTCCTACGAAGGAGAAGACAAATAGTAATAATAAGAATAGCAATAATAATAGCAATACTAATAACAATAAGGATAAGACTAATAATAACAACAATAAACACAATAATAATAGTAATACGAATGCTAATAACAATAATCATCATCATCATCATCAGCAGCAGCATCAACATCATCATCATCATCATCATCATCATCATCATCATCATCATCATCATCATCATCATCATCCCCATAATCATCATCATCATCATCATCATCATCATCATCATCATCATCAGCATCATCATCATCATCATCATCATCATCATCATCATCATCATCATCATCATCATCATCATAACGATAACAGTCATAATAACAATATTATTATATTAGTAGTAATCAAGTAATAGAATATTATACTAATACTATTACTAATACGAATACTATCAAGAAGAAGAAGACGAAGAAGAAGAAGAAGAAGACGACATAGGCATGGACATTCGGAGGTTCGCGCGGATTGCTACCTCTCGGATCGGCGCTGGACCCTCCCTGGCGAGCGGAGCGCGCCGGGTGCGGCGCGGCAGGCGCCGCCAGGGGGATCCGTCGCAGATCCACGGGTCTGCACGTGACCACGAAAAAACACATCCCCAATCCCAAAATCGCGGATTCACCGAGGATTCGAAGATCGGCCAAAGATTTCGGGGTATGCTTTGCGTTCGTCGTCGTCGTCATGGTAAAACCCCACCCCAAAATCTCCCTCCCCGAAGTCTCGAGGAGCCTGCATTTTGTCTTGGCCCTCGCGTTTTTGGGATTGGGCATCTGTTTTGACTTAGTGAGCACGGGCCTCCAAAAGTTCCAGCGCCAGCGCAACGACACGGGGCCACTGGAAAAGGCGGCCTGGGGGCGGGTGCAGTCGGACCTGACTGGAGAGGACGCGCGAGAGGACACGAGACCCTTCCGAGGGCCACGGCGCCGCACTCGCCATCGCTCGGACGTCCATTCCCTGTGTTTTTTTCGGTTTTGTGCGTGGCTTTTTCGCCAAATGATCAAGGATGCTCCTCGATGATCCTCGCCGAAGGAAAAGTGCACACGTCCGAGCGATGCCAAGCATAGGAATGCAGGAGGCACGGGTCGCGAGACGCAGGACACAGAGGTACCCTTGATTTCACAGGGTCGACCTACCAATCCGGGCCGACTGTGGCTCCCCGAGCCCTCGGCGAAGAAACGAGCGTCTAGTGCACGCCGTGGTGGCACCAGCCCGCTGGACAAACCCCTGGGAGAAATGCGCTGCCCTTCCTGGGTGAGGCTTCATGGAGGTCTCGGTGGACCTCCGCGGCCTTATCGTAAACGTGACTTCGACCAGACGCCGTCCAGATTTCCATCAGCCCTCTTCAACCTTTCGTCCGAATTTCGGCCAGATTTCGTCCAGATGCCGTCCAACTCTCGTCCAAAGTTCGTTCAGGTTTCGTCCAAACGCGACAGGATCCCAGCGAAACCCACCAAAACCAAGAGGGCTTCTGGGATCCCCCGAGGCGCCCATGAAGGGCCACACGAGAAGTGCGCTGCCGTCTTTGCTTTTTTTGCTCGGCTGTCCTTGAGCTGGCGACGGGGGTCGACTTGGAGCTGTCGGCGGGGGTGGCGCCCCCTCCACGCCTAATAACATAACAAACGCAGAGCATGGTGGCACCAGCCCTCTGAACAAAACTCTGGAAGAACCGGCGGCGAGCCCCGGGGGAAGCGAAAAAGGGTGGGCCTTCGCAGAAGGCTCGGAAGGCCACCGGCCTTCTGAGAAGCTTTCTGAGCCCTCCCCGAAGCCACCAAAAAAGCCCCTCCGAAGGCCGGACTCCTGAGGAGGCCTTCTCCGTCTCACTTCCCCCCCTCGCTCGCCGCCGAAACAGACGCTGAAGAAGTGCGCTGCCGTTCCTGCCTTCGCTTCGGTGGTCCTTCAGCAGGCGCAGCTGGTCGCGCATCGTCAAGCCGCTGGCCTCCTCGCCAGCCGGCCGCTGGGTGGCGCCCACGGGAGCCGCCGGGGCCGGCTGCTGCGGCTGCTGCTGTGTCCTGTGCCGCCGCCGCGCCTCCTCGGAGAAGAAAACGGGGACTATGAACAATGGGACGCACGAACGCATACTAGCACTATGTGTCCTCCCTGGAGGTGCGCGTCCGATCCGAACATATAATAGAACAATACTGTAGTATATCGTTTCCCGAGCGGTATGGCCAGGGAGTGCCCGGCACGGAGCTTATGCTGTAAGATTTCTCGGCGCGGGCGCCGCCGCTGTGGGGGCGACGCACACATAGTATTAGTGTGTTGGGGTGACGCCGAAGCAAGACTGCACACGGCAACGTTCTTCCGATCTTGGCCACCGTCGATCTTGGTAAGCGTCGTTTCGTGGATCGTCATCGCGGGTCGGCGACGGCCGCCATGGGCCACGACCAAGACTAGCATCGACAAGATGACGCGGCAGCTTGGTCATGGCCCCCGCGCTTCTTGTTGGCAGCGCGCACACTGAAGGGGCCCTGGGACACACAAATGAATACACACAAAATAACAGGATTCTCCATATGTTCCCATATTTTCTGGGTCTTTGTCTTCCCCCTCGCTTCCCATAGTTTCCCATATTTTCGGGGGAATCGACGATTAATTGTGTCTGTGTGTGTGTGTGTTTGTTTCCCTCCTGATTCTTCTTGGCGGCGCGCACAAGGAGGTAGGGGGAGAAGGGAGAGGCTCTCAGAAGGAGGCTGCTTCTTAGAAGGCGCCGGCCTTACATCTACAGAGAAGGCCCGCGCCTTCTAACAAGGGCTCCCAACTTCGCGCTTCGCGCTGCGCGAAGCGCGAAGTGCGAATAACTTCGCGCTCTCGCGCCGCCTCCCAAGGGGGAAGAGGAGGAGGAGAAATCGGAGCCGAAGCGCGAAGCGCGAAGCGTGAGTAACTTCGCGCCCTCGAGGGCGCCCTTGTTCTAAGAAACAGGGGTGCTGCTGAGAAGCTTTCCCCGTTTCGGGTTTGGGGGGGGGGGACGGGTTCCACACGTGCTTTTTGTTTCGACGTTCCCCGACGCCCCCCCCCGCTGGGAAGGGAGGGCACATTTGGGCCTTCGGGTTGGTTTGGGGTGGTTTGGTGTGTGGTGGCGTGCTTCTTCTCGTTTTTCTCGTAATAATTTGTCTTGCTTTACTTTTATACTTGTTATATATATATATACACATACATACATAACACAAAAACTGTTGGTGCTCCGCACGGATTCCTTGGATCTGCGCTGGACCCCCCTCCCTGGCGCGCGGAGCGCACCAAGGGCGGCGCCGGAGGCGCCGCCAGGGGGGGTCCCAGCGCCGATCCGAGAAATCCGCGCGGGCCTCCGAGTTAT